TCTCATTCTTCCTTTGCAGTCTGTAGGGCTAAGTAATGATCATGTTCTTTTTCTTGAGTACAAGTGACAGAATAGATAGAGTAGATAGTTCTAATGTCTAAGGTTGGCTTTTTCATTATTTTTTTTTTGAAACTTTTTTTAAGCTACAAAAGACTGCTTTTTCTCTATTTCCTCTCCGTTGAGTTCCTTGTTACCCTGCTGTCTTAGTCCAGGGATTGCGGCTTCAGCGTGCAGGAGAGGTGGAAGCGGCCCCCGCACCAACACAAGACACCCTGGCCTGGCACTTCCTGAGCGCCCCCGGCCTGTACAAAGCAGAGGCTCTGTAGGCTCCTCTGGTGCCTAAGTGAGACAGAACGCCCAGGGGCTGGAGGGAAGCCTGTGCCACATGCCCAGGATGAGCGCGGGGTGAAGCAGTGCTCATGCAGGGGTGAGGAAGGGGAGGAGTACCTTGACGAGGGAACAGCTGCATGAAAATGGCTGATTTAGAGCAAGGCAGAGGAGCTTCAGACACAGAATGGAAGAAAACACAAAGTAAGTGATGTCCACGACATTAAAACAAGGTCAAATATGATTAGATTTTGGGTAATTACTAAGTTCTCTGGTTTTCATTATTGAGTTCTGACCATTAATTTCCTAAATAAACGTTCCGTAAATAAATATAACTTACAATTTTACAGATGATGTGTTTTACCATCTTTTTTGTTTTGTTTTGCTTTTGAGACAGGGTCTCACTATGTAGTTCACCCTGCCTTGAACCCACTATGTAGGTCAGATTGGCCTTGAATTCGCAGTGATGCTCCTGCCTCAGCCTGAGTGCTTGGGATTATAGGAATGTGTCACTACATCTGGCTATTTTAACTAGAGTTAAGAATTTTACCTTAAATCAAGAACTAATTTAAAACTAATTAAAACTTTAAAATGAGATTAAAAAGTTAGCAGAAGTTACAGACAAATAATTGCTCAATTTAAAATTATTTTTATCCAGGCTGAGTGTGGTGGTTGCATGCCTGTGATCCCAGCACTCAGGAGGCCTTGGCAGGAGGATCACTGTGAGTTGTGGACAGCTGAGCTACAAAGTGAGTTCAAGGCCAGCCTAAACTACGTAGTGAGACTCTGCCTCACAAAGACATCAAATTTTTTTCTCCCTAAATATAGAACAATAAAAAGAGAAAAAGAAAATGAAAAAAATACCCAACCAAGTAAAGGGTAAAGGTCTGGTACTACCTCAAGCATTTTTAAATTTTTTTGCAGGGGTAGGTAGGGTCTGGCTGTGTAGCCCAGGCTGACCTTGATCTCACAGCAATCCTCCTGTCTCAATCTCCAGAGGGCTGGGACTACCAGTGTGCATCACCATGCCCAGCCCCTGAAGCAGTTCTTTAAAACACTAAAGTATGTATAGTTTCAGAGATTTTATGTGGTCTCAAAATAGAGACCTGTAAGTTTTTTAAAAGAGGGAGTTATTTTAAATGTAGCAAATATAGTAGGTATATTGCTGACTCAGAGCTAAATGAAGGGAAATAGTTTTGATGAAATGTCCCTTCATGCAAATAGCTATCAGCAATACTGGCTTAGGATGCTTATGAAAGCTAGCTGATCCATCCGCCTTCCCTAGAGGGCTGTTCACATTACTGAGCAAAGTGAAAGAAGGGGCGCCAGGAAGGGACGAAGTCCCCAAAATAAAGCAGAAGAAGTGAATCTGAAAGAACAATTTGCTCTAGAAAAACTTGTGCTCTAATACTATCACCAAAATAAGGCGATCAAAGAAAAAAATTAAGGACTTTTTCTTAGTATAAAACAATGAAAACAGATCATAGGCTTGTTTTTGTAAAAAAAAAAAACACACCATATTTCTCACACTTTTTGAAGTAAAAAATGTGTTATAAAGTTTCTGCTGTAATTATTACCTGACTCTTCCAAAACTGTTTCCATGAACTATTGGAATAATTTACATACAAGGTGCACTGTGACAAGCATCACAGGCAAGAGGTCAAAACAGTTTCTGTACACACTTGACCATCTTTACAACTGAGAGCTCTGGGAGGCAGGTACCTTGCCCTGGCTGCTTCCTGCACAGAGTAAACAATGAATATCTCTAAGATACATATCTGGAATTTCTGGTTTCTACAAAGCACTGCATTATGTATCTTCTACTTAAAATTGAAAGAACTCTATATACTTAGAATTTGTTAAACAACATGGGTCACAAAACCAAATCAAAACACCATGCACAAAAACTGTCCAATCCTGAGCAACCAGAGCCTCCTTCATCTTCAAATGGCCCAGAGTGGCTAAAGCATACCTACTAGAAAGGTATTCAAATGTTTACTGAAGTGAACTGTAAAAAGTGGTAGGAGAACCTGACAAATATAAAGTAGATTTTAATACTTTGAGACTAATCAAATTTATTTAACTTTTTTAAGATGTACAAACAATTCTACCTGGATCTTTATTCTAATATACTTGGCCTTTTATATTTCAAGAGGACAAAGGTAGACCGTACTTGAAATGGGTATGAAGCACTCAACTTTTAAAAAGGCCTCTGTGCTCATTAGCTGGGAAAATCACTCATGGCTTGTTTGGGCTTAACCAGGAAATAATCCAATAAACACATTTTTTCTTCTTTTAGTAGACAGACAGGTTTTATCTTCTAGTGCCAATTCTGGTTCTTCAGTTTATGTTTGGCTCAGGTACACTAGGCCTAATAAGGGTCATAATATCAAGTCTGAAATGTTCTTATGTATCATGGGTACAGGCCATATATTCTCTTCAGGATGTTCTTACTGGATTTAAGAAAACCTGAAGAGGCAAAGCTATGTGTCCATTTGGCGGGAGGGCTACAGTAAACGCAACTTTTACATGCACTGAATTCTGGGTAGAGTCCATTAGTTCTATTAATGACAAGTTCAATTTCTACTAGGATTCAGGAGACACGGGTGTTTTTAAAGGTGCACTTACACATTTTCAGCGAGAAATGTCCTCAGAGCTGGTGACTGCTCAAGTATCACCACCATCTTAATTGAAGTGAGGTCAAATGGTGGGCTAGCATGGGGATTAGGAGGAGGACATCCACCCAATCACAGGCAGTGCCATGGAGGTCTGTAAATACTACTGCTGAGAATGTGGCTGCTGGGTGTAGAGTTCAGGGAATATTTGGTTTCTACACAGCTGAACAGCAAATTTGAATGAGTAAGAACCTGGCTAAAATTCACTTCTTTTAGCCCTTTGATATCCATAAACTCAGTCCATAAAAAATAAGCAGATAAAGATATGAAGTGATATAACTAGTCACAACTCTCATACTTGGCTTTTTGAGGCAGGGTCTTGTGACGCAGTATGGGTTGGCCTAATCCTGAACTCACTATGTAGCCCAAGCTGACCTGACTCTTGTGACCCTCCAGTCTTAGCTTCCAGAGCACTGGGATTGTAGGCATGTGGCACCACACCTAGCCTCAAAGTATCAACTCTTGACCATTACAAGGTATTTCATAAGAACTAATGACAAAACTACAGCAGCTGGAGCAGAGCAATCAGGACCTTCCCCTGGGAATAGTGGCACATGCCCATAATGCCAGTACTCTGGGAAGCTGAGGCACAAGGATCACAGGTTTGATCCCAACTGGGCAATTCAGTGACTTAGTGAGAGACTGTGTCAAAATGAAAACAGCAGGAGATGAAGCTCGGTGTGAAGGCCCTGGATTCAATCCCTAGTGCTATAAGACCACACCACCACAAAACAGCTGATCTTTTTGACACTTTTAACACCACTTTAACAGCTTAAAAGGCTAAAATTTGGTCAAATGAACCAAACTTTAAAAATGAGAGGACTATATAGAGTCCATTAATTTGTGTGTATGTGTATGTGCGCGTGCATGTGGTGCTGGAGACTGAATGTAGGCAAGCAATCTACTACTGAGCTATGTTTCTTTTCTTTCTTTCTTTCTTTTTTTTTTTTTTTTGTCTTTTTCATTTTTATCGGTCCCAGGGATCGAACTCACAACCGCACACTTGCAAGGCAGGTGGTGCTTATGCCACTGAGCTAAAAATCCCCAGCCCCTGAGCTATGTTTCTAATTGTGATAAACTTCTGTAGTTGAAAGTCATAAATAACAAAGCAGAAAATAGGCAGTGTTACAGAAGAAAAGGACTGGTAGACAGAAGTAATGAATTAGAAATGAATGAATGAATGAAGTACAGAGGGAAGAAAAGGAAAAGAATATGAGAGAAACACAGGGGAGGTGGTAAGTGTGGTATAAAGAACATTTGTCTTGGCTACATGCGTGATAAAGCTATTAGTGCTACTAAAACTCTGTCTTCCTACTGAACGTAACACTGTAAGTACAGAGCTGAATTATCTGTATGGTGCTCTGGCTCAACATGCTGTTTCTTACATCAGGTCCACTCCAGCCACTAGCTCCCATATCGCAGTACACCAGCTACATACCGCACACTCTCCCCATTCGGACTAAAAGAACCCTACAGTGAGGACTATTATTTACCAGCTCTAAGGATGTTATTTTCTTGAGATGATATTCTTTGTCTAGTAAATGTTTAATTCCTTATCCTCAGGCTAGTCTATGGGGTTGTTTCTGGTAGTCAGCAGGGCACTATTAAGACTTGGTATGTTTTTTGATACAGTATGCTGTATCAGAAAGAAGCCCTTAGGACACTGTTTGCATGTTTACAAAAGGAACTGGAATTCTGTTCACTTACAGAGTAATGCAGCTTAGGTTGCTCTTCTTGCCCACGTTTAAAAACTTACCCACTTTGGAAAACCTATGTTTGTGAAAACTCCAGACATTTCACTGTCTTAATGTGACTCCCTGGAAGGTAGAAATCTGCAGAGAATCAACATTCAACTCAGTTACAAAGTAAAGATGAAATGTAAGATGAGCTTCAAGAGAAAAAGGAAAAAAAGCTGCTATAATCTAATCACAAGGGAATTTCTAATACTGGCATCTTAATATTGTTGCTCAAAGTTATATAAAGATCACATTTACTAACCTGGGGAATGCTGGGAAGTTGCAAGTGAGGTCATGGAATTAGAGACGTTAAGGTTGGCAGTGATACTAAGCTGGCTCTGCAGTGCAGGGGGGTGAGGAGATGTGGGTGTCAGGAGGGACTCTTCAGTGGTTTCTTCATCAATTCCAGGCAAGTATGTGTCAATCAAGGCATCAAGAAACTTAACAATAAGCTCAGCATAGTCTTGGATTTGTGTTTGCTGTAATGGAAAATAGGAAATTATTTTAGCTCCACTCTTTTTTAATTCCCTCTGAAGCCAAAAAAGGATTAATTCAATTTTGGGGGGCTTACTTTATTACTCTTTATTTATTACTTTTCTTCCTTTGTTTATATTATAGATCATTTTATTATTTATTTATTTATTTTTGTCTTTTTCCTTCTTATCGGTACCAGGGATCGAACTCACGACTGCCTGCTTGCAAGGCAGGTACTTATGCTACTGAGCTAAATCCCCAGCCCCCTATAGATCATTTTAAAAAAGGGGTGGAGTAATATTTATTGACTACCATAGGACTTAAACCTGGGAATTTTATTGAGCTTCCTTTAACGCTTCCAGATGAACCTGCAATTCTTGAAGCCATGCGCAGACAGACTAAATGCTAAGACAATACAATCATCAGGAATGATGTCTAGCCAACTTTCCAAAACAGAGAAAATGAGCAGAATATCATCATTCCAGTTGCTGTTTAATTCCACCAACTAGACATTGTGGAGGCCACAGAGGGTTATGGCAAATCTAAGTATAAAAGTCGCTGCATGGTACACTTACTTCTGTGACTTTAGGCCTACTTTTTCAGTGACAACCTTGCATATCAAGAGGTTTAATACCCCTGTGCCTAGAACACTGTGCCAGGAACTATAGGGGGAAGACACAGAAGTCCTGCCTTCAAGGAACTTCAATGAATTTGGGGAGAGCATACACAGAGAAAATAATTAAATACATATTTATGTAGCACTACAACAACTAATGCCAAAGAAAAAAATGAATAGAGAATAAAGAATCTAATCAAATACCGTTGGATATAAACATGTTTTCATGAGGTAGACTACAATCACAGATAATGCTTCTTACTAGTCATAAGATATTTGAATGTGTACATTAAAATTATCAAATACACAGGGGTCCATGGGGGGAACAGTTTTACATATTTATCATACCCTTCTGCAAAATCAGCATAAAAGATGTTGCTTTTGTAAATAGCAATGTATAAATATACTGAAGCTGCTGCCCTTTTTTTTTTTTTTTTTTTTTGAGACAGGGTCTTGCTATGTTGTTTAGGCTGGCCTTGAACTCCTTATGCAGCCCAGACTGGTCTTGAACTTACAGTGATCCTCCTACCTCTGCCTCCTCAGTTCTGGCATTACAAGTGTGTGCCACTACATCCAGCTGATGCTCCTACCTTTTAGAAGAGATCTTGTGCTGAAAGACTTTTTCTGAAAATGTGCTGATTGTGAGTTACTCTGGTTTTCAGTATAATATGCATTCTTAAAGTAGGTATATTAAGATGGATAAAAACTTTTGTTTTGTCAAATATATGAAAAAAACCATGTTTTTATACCTTTGAAAAGGGTCCTGCAAACCGCCACAAGCCATTAAAACCAAAACCTGCAACAAATCAAATGTTACTCTTAAAAGACACCTGGTATCTTTATATGGTAATAGCAATTAAGTTGTACAGTTGATTTATAAAGCCTATGAACACAGTGAAGATAGTTTAGAATATTGTCAAAGCAGACTAAAACTTACTTAAAAGAGATTCAGTGTAAAACCATATTTTAATAAAGTCGTCAAGCGGTTATAATAGTGGGTATGACTATGGGAGTCAGGAAATTGTAAATGGAAAGAGGAATATGAACAGCCTATCCCTGATAAGGAATTCTGTAGCCAGTGCACTCTACAACAGCCCACACTTTAGCAAGTTCCTCAGTCATCCTTCTCCTGGTAATTTACTTTGCAGGTAGGATGTTTGGTACTGCAGTGGGGATTCTTCATGGTACACCACACTCTGCACGATTTCACGGATCGGGTTTAACAAATTTGGATCTTGGCATAATGATAACAAGGTGTTAATCTTAAGAGTCCAACAAACTGTGCCTAAAAAAAAAAGTCAAAGGAGACATATTTTAGAGAATGATTAATGAAAAGATTTATTGAAAAACATATTAGAACAATGTGGCAGAATCAAAAGGACATGAGCACTTTTAACTTTCCAGTGCTTTTGTGTATTTTTCATATTTCCTGTGTGTGTGTTTGCTTTTTTGGTTCACCTTTTGTTCTGTTTTTAGTCACTAGGAAAAATATGGTAAAGACAAACAACTCGTGGTGTCATATATAACCAGGTCAAAGTATATATCGTGAAAGTTTATTCAAGACAAGGCTGGCTTCTATCGCTTAGCACACACTAAAACCATTGCTTTTTGCTGTCTGCTGATATGTACTCAATGAGTTAAGATTAAATTTAATATTAGTAGTTAATGAATGCTTAATGACATTGAATTTTATGAAGGGAAGCAATATTAGGTTAAAAGGTACAGAATAACTATCCAATGAAATCTTAGGAAGAAATTAACTAATTTTAATCTGGCTGTACTGATTAGTAAAAAGAACTAGGACTTACCTGCATAAAGTTTGAAAATTTTATAACATAATTAACCAAAAGTAAAATAATTATGTTGTACACAAGCTCTCAATTGGAACAGAATATTCCGAGTTTCTGTAGGCTACTTCAAAAAAAATTTTTAAGGGTTTTTTTGTTTTTGTTTTTTTTGAGACAGGGTCTCACTAGATAGTTCAGGCTGGTCTTGAGTTCACTACGTACTCAAGAATGGCCTTGAACCCACAGTGACCCTCCAGGCTTCAGCCTATGTTGAGATTATGGACCTGTGCTACCCAGGTGGGCTATATAAATTTGAACACAGAGGCTAAATTGTCAAAAGAGGAGGTTAGTCTTAATTTCACACAGCTGTGGATAAACACAAACACTCTACTAAAAAGAAAACCAAAACAGGTGTGTAGATTTAAATATGGCAATCGCTCAGCTTGGTCTTGGGTAAGGAAAATGACCAGTGCTCATCATGGTGAACCCCTGAAGTAAATCAACAGACTTAGGAAAAAAGTTCTTCTTGACAGGGTAAAACTAGTTCTAGCCACCACTAGACTCACTGTGTTCTGTTGTTTTGGTGCTGGGGATCAAAAGTGGGGCTTGTGTATCCTGAGAACACACACTACCACTAAGCCACACCTGCAGCCTCTTCTACCACTATCTCTAAGCTAAAAATCACTACCACACTATCGTACTGCAACTGGTAAACATTACTGGGTAATGTATTTCCCTAATTCCTTACAAAGCATTTGACATAAAGATAGGTACAAAGGTTAATTCAATACGGAAGATACTTACACAACAGGAAATACTTTGGGGAATACAACGCTGGCCTCTGCTAAATATTCATAAAGGATTTGTTGATCAAATTCATCTGTGGTATATTTTACTAGCGTTGCCTGCCAAATGCAAAAAAGTAAACAAGGAACATTTTAATTTTGTGATTAAACTTTCAGCTTACCAAAGCAAGAATTAGAAGACAATCTTCCTTTCATGTTTTTAACATTTAAAGGGGAAGGAGGGTTGAAGAGAGGGGAGGGGATTGAGGAAAAAAAATCAAAATATATTATGGGTTGGGAATGGTGGCACATGCTTGTAATCCCTGCACTTGGGAGGCTGAGGCAGGAGGATGGTTGTGAGTTCAAGGCCAGTGTGGGCTACACCAGTGAGTTCAAGGCCAGCCTGAACTGCGTAGCAAGAACCTGTCTCAAAAAAACCAAGGGGTGGGGGGAAGAGGCTCCTTACAGTACACTGGAATATAAATTTCAACAAGGAAAACCCTCAAAAAGGGAAAATCCTTACTAGAACAGTAAGAAGAAGTGCCTGGATCTTTGGATCAGTAAGTACTTCTTCATCCAAAAGAACGTTCCTCTTGGACACTGAAACTTTACGTAAATGTGGGTGCTGCTGCGATGAGGAAACCCTCTGAGTTTCTGCAGTAAGACACAGATGAACAAGAGCAGCTCAATGAACAGAACACTGGATAACCACTTCACCCAGCATACTTCAAGGTTTTAACAATTAACAGCATTTTGGTAGACAGTGAAAACATCAAAATAAATATATGGAATTCCTATTCATCTACACAAAATTTTGGTTAGCTATTTACAACACTGTGTATCAGACATCTGATGACTTTTTGCACAGGTTTGAGGATAAACATCATTTTAAGGACTGCAGAGGATATCTTTTGAAGAAAAAATGCTTCTATACAGCATTCTAAAGATTTGTACATGGTTGGAAGTAAATGCGGATTTGAGGTACTCTCCCACCTTATTATCAATGACACAGATGAATTACTAACTTTGTTTCTCATCCATTTCATAATCAGTTTCTGCTACTCTTCTCATTTTAGGGGGTGTTGTGATCCCTGATTCCATTTCTTGCCTTTTAGGAGCCTTTGTGTCTGATATCAAGTGATCAAAACTTTTCCTTGTCCCTAAAACAAAAGTAACAGAATATAGAAATGCATTAAACAATGTGTCTATGAAGAAGAATACACTAAAAAAAAATGTCTGGACATAAAGTGTTTAAGCTTTCATGTAGAGACCTCTCAAAACGCAAACCTACCACTGGAGCAGAGTGTCCCCACTGATCCATCTTCTTTAAGGGATAGCTTTTGGTTTTAGGACAGATGCATCCTACTGGCCTTAATGAAACTAAGATTACATTCATCTACAGTGTAGGTAAACCAAGGGCTCCCAGCAGGCACGAGTACCGCAAACAAACACAGAGGGATATGTGCTATTCAAGAGCAAAGACTGACTGCATCACAACAGTCTTCAATTTAAGAAATTCTGCTGGTGCCAAGAATTAGCCATTAACATATGAAAAATTTCCAAATGTAGTAAGAAATTAAAGTTTGATTTTAATTCCTCAAGCTTTGAGAAGATGGTCTGTATGTCTGAAAATACCAAAGAATAGGAATATAGGAGATGCTTCAAAATAGCAAGTGATACTACCTCACACTTGGCTCTGAATTTCCCAAATCAGGTACCACACTAATATTTAAGTATCTTTCTCTTAAAGTAGAAATACTGAAATTGGACTATTTGAAATGTACATATTTTTGCTCTTTAGCAGAATGGCATCGTAAGTGTGTCCCCGCCTACCTGCAATGCCGTGTGATCCCAGGGTCCTGTTCTCAGTGGACGTTTCTGGTTAATAAACTGGATTTAGCTTAAAAGGGAAAGAGAATTGCTAACTAAAGGATTTCTTCTGACCTTCATTTAAGGGCTGGAAGACCTCCTAAATAAACCAGTCATCTAACAAGACTGGGAAGAGCCTGGTTTGCCGGCCTAAGGAAAGAAACCCCTTGCAGGCTGTGAGAACCAAGTCTCACTGGGTCTGTGACACAGCATGGTCACTGTCAGCACCACAGTCCAGGTGGGCCCCACGAGTGAGGGGAAGAGCAGCTGCCCGGGGTCCGACCATGGCCTTCCCCAGTACACACACCACTCTGGGCGCCGCTGCCCTGTGCTGGGTGCTCTGAGGAACACTTCTGTGAAGTGCTCTTCCTGTGCACTTCTGAGGCCTGGTCCTGTTCCCTGTGGTTTCTTAACTGTGCGTGTCACTGATCACAGATCCAGATGGGAACAGACGCACATAAATACCCTGAACAGCAAGCCAGATCCTTGCTGAGCCCACCTGGGGTTGCCTGGCTTTCCTGGCAGACACCCCAGTGCCACCATCACAGGGAGCAGAAGACGAGAGCCAGCGCCCAGACAGACCAGCCGTGCCTGCAGTCGGAGTTCTCAGAGGACCAGGCCGGGCACACGTCCTGCCTGGGGACAACAGGGTGGCCGATGCCAGCCACTGGGGTGGGAGGTTCACCTGTCCTATGTCACATGCAGTGCAAATGGCTCGCAGCTCCTTGGCCTTGGAGGGTCAGGGCTCACACCAGTCTGTCACTCTGTGTCACAGATATCTGCTGTTTCACCTCCCTCACTGGACCCACTCCTGCAGGGGTCAGGGCGTGCTGGGGCAGCTCCCATGCTGGCGTCCTGACAGCAGGGCCCTGCACAGGGCCCAGGGACGGGAGCCCCAGCCCCAGCACAGCCACAGCCACCCACCCCAGAGAAGTGGGTTTGCACAGTGAGTGGCTTTGAAGTGGGAGGTGAGGCAGGGCACCCCACCTGTAGTGCCAACACCTTGGGAAGCCAAAGCAAGAGCATCACTTGAGCCTAGGAATTCAGGGCCAGACGAGGCAATAGTGAGAACCATCTCTGAAAATAAAAGTGGGGAATGGGAAAAATATTACAAAAACATTCACTTGTCTCAAGCATTTTATCATCTCTGCTGTATGCAGCAGCAAGGCCTCTAAAAAGGAGGGCTTCAGGGTTTTAGAACCAGAGACCCACGTGGAAGAGTGTGGCCAGCGCTTCCCAGCACCTCACACTGCTCATCGGAGCCTACGGGCAGGAGCGAGGACTCTGTGAGGAGAGCAGGGAGGCATGCACTCTCATTCCAGGCAGGACACCTAGGAGCACATTTGACTCGAACAGTACCAAGGAGCCTAGGGCAGCTCTGCCTGTCCTGACCACAGGAGGATGTCCCCGAGAAGAGCTGGGACCTGGAGCTGGAACCAGGGCAACTCCTGTCCCTGGTGCCAGGTGGCCACCCTAGGGGGCACACACACTCCTCCCTGTCTGTATGTCTTGTCTGTCTATCTTCCCTGGGGTGGCCTTGCCCTGTTCAGGTGCCCACGGCTTTTCCGAGCTGTTCCACGTGAGTGGCCTTGGCCCTGTGACCCCATCCCCAGCTCCAGCAGCTGACCAGTGGCTCTGAGAGGCCCTGTCCTGCACAAGAGAGGACTGAGGCCAGGCCACCCTGGGCAGGCTCTGTCAAGGCAGCCTCAGAGAACAGAGCCACACAGGACACAGCTGGGTCTTCTGGGTAGAGCTGGGAGGCCACTATAGAGAGCTACAGTCATAGGAAGCCTAATGGCCTCCAGGCCTGCAGCCTCTCATGCTCCCCTGGGCACCAGCCAGCCTGTGCTCACCTCAGAAAAGGGCCTCATCCTCCAACCCACCACCAACCTGGCCACTCCAATGGAGAAGACTACAGCCTGCACACCAGGTCTGTCACAGGCACGAGGGCCTCCACATGGAATGAGGACTGTGGAGCACCTTCTCTCCTCAAAACTGTCTGTGATCTCTCTGCTGCTAGTTGGGTTTGTCCTGGCCACCAGCTGGGTTTGTCCCAGACTGTAGCTGAGGGACAAGTGGGGCCTTGAGCAGCTGCTCTTGCCTGTCGTGCTGAGAACGCATCAGAGGCCTGAGAACCCCAAGTCAGGAAGGCAGCTGGCAGAAAGGGTACCAGTGCCCCTACCTTTCTGCCTGCCCCACAGCTTGGGATGCTGCCTCCTGGCAGGAGGGAGGTGTGATGGGCAGCAACTGATGCCATGAGGCTCAAAGCCTCCACACCTCAGCTTGGCAGGGCAGGACGGTGTCTGGAGCCCTTTCCAGCCCAGTGGGCCGGTCACTTCGGACACCTGGTCCCAATGCACGGATTTCCACGGAGCAGCCTCTGGCTGGGAATCACGCTGGGTGAGCTCTGAGGCAGAGAAACTGTGGTTAAGAAGTGTGGAGAGCAGTGCCCCGGGAGTGGCAGAAGGAACCACACAGACCAAACAGCTGCTCAGGGTTCCCAGTCCCAAACCACAGAACCAGCCATGGGGGATGAGAGAAAACTGAGAGGCTTGTGCCCTGGGGAAGCCAGGAAACCACAGGACGAACCAGAAACCGGAATGGGGAGCTTCACAAGCAGCACTGACCTCACAGCGCCCAGGTCCAGATCCCGGTGTCGGCAACCCCCACAAGGGCCCCCCGTGCCCCAGCCCTGGCTGCCCTTGGTGGTGGGCAGACCCCCAGCCTCCATCAGCACCCGGCTGGCCACCCAAGGCTGCCTCTCAAGAGGACACCAGCTGTGATGGTTGACCGACTGAGTCAGCTTGAGTAAGTAATGTCCCAAAACCAGCTCAGGGAGGCTCTGGACATGGAAAACCCACAGGCCCCTCACCACCTGCTCCAAAGAGAGGTGGGAAGGAAAGCTTGCTGCCAACTTCAGAGGAGGAGCTCCGGTCTTCGTCCTCGCCTTGGCCGGCATCTCCTACCTCCATCTAGATCCCTTGGCCTCATGATAGGAACTCCAATAGGACCCTGCACAGAGGCCCTGGCCTCCGCCTGGGTCCCTCAGTCCCCAGCATACAGACAGCACCTGTATGAGCTGGACATGTGCCACTGTGCTTGTTTACTTGTGAAGAATTTCTGGAGGAGGAATGCTTTTGTCACTGGCAACCAGCTCTGGCAAGGAGGTCAGACAGCTTTTGTTTATGCTGTTGGCCTGTTTGAAGGTGATGTTAGTCAGCTTTCTGTCACTGTGACCAAACTTGCCTGAGAGAATAAGCTTACCCAGAGCAAGGGTGGTTTTGATCCAGGGTCTGGGTCTGTGTTCCTGGCTGGCACGGGGCTTTACCTCTGAACCCGGGGGAGACAGAGAGAGAGTGAGACAGAGAGCCAGAAGTAGAGACAATGGAGACAGCTACACGAGAGACACAAACACAGGCACATGGACTGACTGGCTCAGGAGAGCTCCACTGGGCCAGCCGACGGCTTCATTTCAGTTCTCGAGGCTGAGCTGTCTCTTGTGGGCTCTTTGTCAGCACCTGTGTAGGGTAAATTTATCACCAGATCTTAAACAGAAATCGTCTGTACACCTAGAACCCTCTAAAGTTCCCTCCCCACCCCACTGGCACTGGGGCCCCTCCTGGCTGTCCCTGGGCTGCTGGCCAAGCAGCTGCCCCAACCCTTAGCACCGCATCCCCGGGCTCACAAACACTGTGACCCTGCGAGCTGCCATATGGGGGGAGTGGCTCTGATGTAAGACCCTGAGGATATCCTTCCCTTGTAGCTGATCCCACAGAGCAGAGGGCTGGGGCCTGTGGCATGCAGCAGGGTGTCTCAGATGCAGACCTCAGAGCCACCTCCATGTCCAGAGGAAAGCCGAGATGAGCAAGATGCAGGTGAGGCTGCGGGAGTGCAGGCCAAGTTGCACTCCACAGCAGGCCGAGAGCAGGCACAGTCTGGCGGCTCTAGACCTAGCACATGGGGTGGGCTCCAGGACATCAGTCTTCCCATTCCCTTCTGACATGGGGACAGAGATAGGGAGAGGGTGCTGTGTGGAGCTGAGCGGAACCCGGATGGGGGAGATGACTTCCCACAGCTGGTACTGGGCGTCTTCCAGGGCCATACACATCCTTGTCTACTCTGTGCCACAAGCGCCACCTCCTTTACCTCAGTGTCCCTCCCTCAGCAGCCCTGGGCTACCTCGTTCTGATGGAAACTGGACACCCACTCTCTCTGATCCCCCATCGCCTCTCATGGGGTGACTGGATTCTGCACCAGATGCCATGCTGTGGTCTGCATGTCGACTGCTCCTCCTCTAGCAGCAACAGCAGCAGCAGCAGCAGCAGCAAATTCTCCCAACTTCCGCGGTGCTGAAACTGACTGCTGTGCCTTAGAATTTGGTAGCTGGTGCCGTCTTCAAGACATTCCTGGTTTATCCTTTATGGTTTAGCTGTGTAAGCCGCAAAATCAGCTTTCAAAGGTGTGAAGAGCCTGCTCAGATTCTGAATGATTTCATGGCCTCTCTGGCTCTGGGCTCAGGATGTCTTAGGTGTGTTAAGCCTTTCAATTTACAAACACAGTCAATACCACTGTCATTTTTTAGGCCTTGCCGTTTCCTCCAGTAGTGGCTTTGGATTTTTGTCAGACTTGTTCCTGATATCTGATGGTTTGCAGTGATATTATAAGTAACTTTACATATTTTTCCTTTTTTTAAATTCTCTGTTGCCCATGTAGAGACAGTTGTTTTCCCACAAGGCCCTCTGTCTGCTGACCTTGTGTACAGTCACTTGGTGTCACGCGATGAATTCTTTGTGGAGCAGAGGCCCCGCTGACCACAGCCTCTCAGCCTCCTTCTCTCGGCCCTGGGCACAGGGTGGGCAGCAGTGCAGATGATTGCCCTCACGTTCAGTAACTCTGGCTGGCAGTGCCCAGCGAGCCAGCGTTTCTCTCATGTGGGGCAAAGCAGCCATGACCCTGGGAGAGCCCAGTAGCACAGGCCTTGGACAGGTGGGCATTAGCATCCTAGAGACAGTGAGAGCAAAGGGAGGGAAGGCCAATGACCTTATCACAGCTGGGGAAGCCAGAGCCAGACTGGGACCAGCCTTGTAGCCACTTCGTGTTCTGGGGCTCCTGCTGGCCCGGGCCTCCTTCGGGCCTCCTTCTCTGTGATGGCCGGGGTTGAGCTGACCTTGAGTGCCGAGTCAGCCACCACTCAGTGGTGCCACAGCTCTGTCTCCTGTGCTGCCAGTGCCCAAGGAAGGGTGGACAGCTCAGGCCTGCCGACTCACTGGGAGGATGGAGACACCATCTCTGGCCATGCCCTGTGCAGCAGTCCACTCCATCAGGTCCAGTAGGGCTTGTCCCTAGCACCACGTGGCAATGGGACAGACTGCACGTCACCCATGAAAGTTGGAGAACTTAGCCTGGGGTCCCCAGAGCTCGTCCACACAAAGGCAGAGCCTGGAAAAGCCAAGCGGAGTCACAGAGGATGCCTAGAGATGGTCGTGTGCTCTGTCCCTTTCTGGACCTGACAGGGACTGTCCTCCATCTGTCCTCACCACTGAAGGGTGTCTGAGTGGGTCACTTCTTCCCACCCTTTTGGTCCGCTGGGCCGCCCGTTCCCCTGCCACCTCGCCAGGCCAGTGTGGGTTAAGGTGCTTGGAGCCCTGGGTGGTCTCTCAGGTCGCTCTGTAGGAGCAAGTCTAGAGCTGCAGCCTGGGCCTGTACTGTGCAAACCCTGCTGGCCTCCCAGCTGTCCCCGTATGTATATCTCCAGCACTGGCCTTGTTCTCTGATGCCTCCTCCCAGATGCACTTCCTACTCAATTGGACCAGGCTGGGATTGGGGGGCAGCCTCTTGGGTGTGGCCCTCTCCTGTTGTGCCCCTCCCCCTGCTGTGCTCCACTCCCCACTGTGCCCCTTCCCTGTTGTGCCCCTCCCCTGCTCTGTCCTCACCCGGGCTTGGCCACATGGATCTGTGCACTGCCCCTCAGATTTGCCTTGTGTTTTGGCTTAGGCTTTGTTTGGAAATACTTCTTGGAACAAGCTAATTATTATAAAATTCTCTACTGAGTTAATCAACAGAGAATTAGAAGCAATTGAGTTAAACACACCTACTGAGCCCAGGATGGTGAAGCTGATTAACAGAATCATCTTACCCTCATCTCCATCTCCATCATTGAAAGCTGTTTTCCCTTCTGAATTTTCTTAAAGCTCTCAGTCAGCCACTGACTGCTCCATGCTGTGGAGGCCCGCAGGGTGCAGGGCAGGCCAGTCTGTCAGGGAGAGGCATGGCTCCACCTTCACACTGTGGCCATCAAACGGAGGCAAGTCACAGTGCCTAGCAGGAAGGACCCTGGGGCCCCCATGATGGCTGTGAGGGTCCCCTTCCCAGGTCTCAGCCTCAGGACAAGGAGCTTGCTGTCAGACCCTGGCAAGGCCGGCTCAGTGCACGTTAACCCGGCTTCTGGGGAGCGAGCAGTGGGGACTGAAGCCTATACACAGTGGAGGGGTTTCCTGTGTGGACGGCCTGGGAAGTGGGGCACGTGGCCCTCAGGGGTCCCTAAAGCTTGGGGACAGTGCCAGGAGCTATGTGGGCAGAGCTCAGCCTCAGGCCCCACTTCTCGAGGGGCAAGCATTGGTGCTGGATATCGCCTGGCAGGTGCGGGAGGGAGTGCTGATTCTTCCTCTCCAACATACAGCACATAGTAAGTAGGTGGTAAGCAAAGACTGTTCAATCTGCTGCATCCTGGGAGCCAGCCAGGAGACCTCATGGCTGCTTGAGGTGGCCGAGGTGAGCAAGGCAGCCGCCGTTCCAGGCGTGGTATATAGGGCTGCTGGCTTGAGGTGATGGTGTGGTTGAGGGAGGAGGCCAGCAGTCAGATCTGAGTGGCAAGGCAACAGTCAGGAGCCACTGCCAGAGCCAGCAGTATGCACGGTCAGTCGGGGCAGAATCCATGCACCAGCATCCCACTGGGAATTCACTGGCCCCCTCTAGCACCAGGCCATGTGGCTGGCTCACGGCAGGTGGGATGTGGGACAGTGGCCCCATGGATCAGGGCCGGCTCGTGCTGGAGCTCCTTTTGGGCAGGGCTGGATGCCATCTCTTGGGTCACTGACTGGTTTCTCCATTAGTGACCAATGGCCTGGGGCCAAGACTGCTGTGCCGGAGCCCTTGGAACATCTCTCGGTGATTCTGGCAGAGGAGCTGCCATGGGTAGAGGGTAGGTTGTGTGGAGGAAGGAGGAACTCTGAGCATGGAGAGGCCCCTTCTGAAAAAGCGGTCCCCTCTCCCTAGAGGGGTACCAGACACCTGGCACACACAGCGGGCCAGCCAGAAGGCACTCATGCACATGGGAGGCTGGATTCTCGACTCCCAGGAACCCTTGCTGCACAGGTTGCCCTCCCTCCCACCTGTCCAGGCCCTGCTGGAAGACAGCGTCCTTCCCAAGGTCCAGACAGTACTCAACCCTTGATCTGTGCAAGCCCTGGAGTGCTGAACAGGCAGGGTGGATTCTCGTCTCCTGTTCAGGCCTAGGTGGGCTCTGCCCACAGCAACCTTGTGCACAGCTCCAGTTCTGAGTGTGAGGCCATGATGGGTTCGGGTGGACGGGGCAGGATTCACATGACTCAGATACACACAGCACCACCGCCTCTCAACCTGTACGTGCTACTGTCCCTAGACACAGGGCACTGTCCCTGCCCCATGCTCCTGGGACCACTGCATCTGCTCATGTGGCCATGGGCACAGGGACAGCAGAGCCCTGCTGGGCTCGGCATGCATTTGGGGAGCTTGCTGTCACAGCTCGGAATGGAATGGAATGCACAGGCCTCTAGGCCATTAGGGTGACACAGGCTGCTGGGCTGCAGGTGGTGGGAAGGGCAGTGGCCTTCCCAGGACTTCTACCTGAGGTTGATCACAAGTCTGGTCCCCAAGAGCCCAGCACAGCCTCTGCATCTGTGGGGTGTCGGGAGTGTGCAG